AAAAAGAAAGAAACCTCCAGTCTATGGCTGTGGGAGCCTAGAGCCAGCAGGCTCCAGCCCACCCCTCCTCTTTGCTCTGCCCGAGCCCTGCCCCTGCCCTGCCCCAGCACAGTCCCTCCTCACCCCAGAGTGGGGCCCGTCTGCCCCCCCAAAGTCCTCAGGAGCAGGATGCGCCCTGCTGTTTCACGGGCACTCACACATGTGCACGCACGGATACACAGATGTGTGCACACACACACAGCACTTCCGGCTCTGGGCACCAGCTGGGCGCAGGGGGTCTGGGCAGGACCTGATGGGCAGGTCCTGGGCTTGGCACGGGGGTCCTGTGCTCTGACTGGGGGAGGGGCAGGCTGCCAGCTTTCACCCCCAGCTGGGAGGGCCAAAGGTTGGGGCTCTGGAATGTGGCTGAAAGTGAAAGCAGGCCGGGGTCCGGGGGGGCGGGGCGGGCGCGGGCCCTGGCCTGGTGCGGCTGGGACGTCCCAGCTGTTCCTTACTGGCTGGAGCTGCTCAGAGCGCCCAGCCGGGGCCGGACACTGCGGGAGGCCGTCTCCAGGGTCCCTTCTGCCTGGGCCCAGCATCTGCCCACTCCGCAGGTATGTCCTGGGCAGGGTGCAGGGAGCTGGGGGGGCTCTAGGCAGTGGGTGCTGAGACTTCAAGCTCTGCTCCTGCCTGGCCTTCCATGCCGAAGGGCTTGGGCTTCATCCACTTACTCAGACACACGGCAGCTGCACACACACGCAGACAGCACAGATACACATACATGAGACATACACACGCGTGTCCAGGCACGGACTCAACAAGAGGACCACTCACTGACACACACTCTGCAACAGCCACACACACGGGGAGAAGCTGGAGCAGGCGCAGTGTAAAGCTAATACAACCCAGTGGGCAAATCAGACTCACTCTCTCTCTCTCTCTCTCTCTCACACACACACACACACACACAGAGGACAGAGCCACAGAGCTACTTTGGAAAGCAGATGTACAGGTCCTGTCTGAGAGCTGGGTGGGGCCCATTTACTGCTGGTGGGGGGCAGTAAGCACTTGGTGGAGGGATGGAGACCCTAGAGCAATAGAGAAGGTGCACCCCTGGGGCTGAGGCTCTGTCCCGGGGCTTGTCAGAGCGGTGGAGCCACTTCTGAGCCCTGAAGGCAGGGGCAGGTGGAGGAGGCGGGGCTGGGAGAAGCGCCTGGGAGGTGCGGGAGAGTTGGGGGAGTGGAGTGTGGTGGAGAGGTGAGTGTTCCAGGTAGAGGAGCTGAAGAGGAGGCTGTACTTCCAGGGGTAAGGAGAGTCTGTGCTTTGTGGCTGCTGAGAAGGAATTTTGAAAGTGTTTTTCCGACGGGCTTTGCGGGCATAGAGCAGAGCTGCTGGTCACATTTGTACATCAGGAAACTGGAGATTCTCCTGAGCACTCCGGAATCTTCCATCTCAGGGTCTGAGCAGATAGTCAGACCACCAATGAGTTACAATACAGCAGATCTCTCTGTTTTGCCCAATGTTTTCTTAACTGGCTTCTCCAGACACAGGTGAGAACACACCCCCTTGTGCCTGTCCCCATTTTCGTTTTCAGAAGATTCCTAGCTTGCAAGGAAGACTTTCAAGACAAGTCTGAGTCGGAGGGGGGTGGGGCTGAGATTGGGGGCTGAAGAGAAGCCTGGGGTGTGCAGGGCAGAGCCAGCGGACAGGTGTTACTCACCTGTGGTGGCTACTGCTGGGCTGGCCCGGGAGGAGGCTGGGCACCGGAGGAAAGCTCTAGGAATGAGCCGTGACGCCAGGCTGGAGGCACAGGGCTCCACAGTTCAGATCCGACTTCTCAGTCACAGATGGGGTGCCAGGGGGTTCCCAACAATCATGTTCTCCAAGTGACTTTCCTGCCTCTGCTGCTGGCCCTGCCGGGGGTGTTATGGCTAGACTCGGTGCTCAGCTCCCACTAGGCCTGAGGGAGGGAGCTACGTGCCAGGGCGCGGGGCTCCCTGGGCAGGGAGACAGGGAGACAGGGCCTGGGAGAGGCCAGGCCGGGGGAGCCTGAGGCTCAGGCAGGAGTACCAGCACTGCGCGCGTGCACGAGGCCGGGCCGGTCTGCTGATGCTGCTGTCCTTACCCCAGGCTGGGAGATGGACGGAGGCCTGGGCTGGCGCCGTCAGGACTTCTGGGAGTGGGGGTACCCTTGGGTCCTGAAGGCCAGGTTGAGTGGGCAGCAGGGAGGGGCAGTCTGAGGGAGAGCCGGGGCTGCACTGGGAGAGAACAGAAGTAGCCCCGCGGGCTCCACACCCCCCGGGGCTGGAAGGGGAGGCTTCGAATGCCGGGGCTGGCCTGGGGAGTGGGCCCAGCAGGAACAATGGGAGCTGCGGGGGTCCGCGGTGGTGCCCGCTCAAGGCCCGGCGAGGGTGTTGGAATGAGGGCAGCCACCGGGTCGCCCTTCTCCAAGCCTAGGTTTCCCTGCTGACCCGGGTGGGGATAGCCAGGTCTCCCCCCCACGCCCCTGCACCCAGGGGTCCCCCACACCAGCAAGGGCTCCTCAGGCAGCCCCATACTCATGGGGCACAGGGGCAGCAGCCTCCAGGCACCATGGCTGTCAGGGGCTCAACACAGGCCGCTGCGCGCCCCTGGGCTGGGGCAGAGCTCCCGGCTTCGCGACCACAAGATCCAATCTGTGTCAGCAGGGGAATGCACACAAGTAGGTGTTTGCTGCGTGTGAGTTCATGCTCACCCGGCAGGGCTCGCCGTGTGACCCGGTGCCAGGGGCCCTGGAGCCCTGGGCAGAGGCAGGGCAGGGGCGGCCTGGGCAGGAACCGTCTCTTCCTCACCCAGGAGAAGGAGAGAGGCCGGTCCGCCCTCTGGCAGGGGTGGGGCTAGTCCCATGGGCAGTGCCCCCGAGTCTGGGCCAGTATAGATGGTGACCTGTGTCCAGGGCGGGGAAGATAAGATTTCCATCCACCTCCCAGGCCCGCCTCCCTGTCCAGCCTTCTCGCCGTGGCCAGCAGCCTGAGGCTCAGGACGGCTCAGCGGGCCTGGTGAGAGGGTCTGAGGCTTGCCCAGTGTGCAGGGTAGCCCACCGGTGAGGCAAGGCTGGCCCTTGTTCCAGCCAGAGCCCTGTCCCGGATCCTGGGTGGAGGAGGGCTGGAGTCTCTCCGTTGTTCTAAGGCCTGCAGGTCCAGCTCTTCTTTTGGTCTCTCCAAGACCAGGGTAAAGCCTGGCCAGCCCAACACCCACCCCATTCACACCCACCCCATTCAGGGTTCCAGGTTACACAGTGGGTGGGTGGACAGGAGGGGCGGGCAGGGGGGAAGCTCCCTCCTCTCTCCCACCCCAGCCCTGCTCAGGCTTATAAGGAGGTGGGCCTGTGCCTGGCGGGGCGGGCAGTGCGGTCTGTGCCCTTGGACCCAGCACCCGTGGGGGAAGGGAGAGTTGTAAAGGAGGGGAAACAACACCAAGAACCCAGCACCCAGTTAAATATAGACTGAGGCCCACCACCGCCTTCCCTCCAGGCTGTGCAGCCATGATAAGCAACAGGGAGCCTCCCACTGCTCCTCACCACAGCGCCTGCCCCCACCCAGCCGCCCCAGGGAAGGCAGGGACTCCTCTTTGAGCAGAAGTGGCCAGGTCTTCTGTGGTTCTTCAGTGGATGGGCTGAAGGCCCTGAAGGGCAAAAGGGCCGCTGCAGAGAAGTGTCTGTGTGGGGGATTCTTAGAACCTGAGGTCTGAGGAGCCCGGATGTGGTTTCCAGCCCCCCCCCCCGCTGGGGGGCTGTGGGTTGGGCCAGGTCCCAGAATCTCCATGTTGGGCTCCCTCTTCAGTTCCAGCGGTCTGGCCTTGGAAAGACCCTCCTGGGCAGCGATGCCAGGCAAGCCTTTCCCATGGTTGTGGCTGGTCCCACCTCGGCTCTGGCTGCCACCTGGCACACGGAACGCTCTGGCTACCGTGTTTGCCGACGGAGCCCCCTTTCTGCTGCTCCAGGAAGGCTGGCTGGGGCTTGTCTGCTCCCCGGATGCCCTCTGGCTCTTGAGCATCCTTCTCACCCTTAGCTCTCCTGCAACCATGATGCCATCGCCGCGGCCAGTGAGCCCTGGGCCAGAGCCCCAGAGCCCCAGGGAGCCCCAGACCGCCGTTCAGGGCTGCCAGCGGACAAGCAGCGTGGACGGACGTGACACCCCCCGGGAGGGCGCCCGGAAGCTGGGCCTGGGCACGTGGAAACGCGCCTTCTCCTGGGCCAGCCAGCACTCGCGAGCTGCCAGCGGGGACCCGGGGCCGCGCAGGCACAGCTCCCTGTTCCGGTCCTTCCGGCGGTCCCTGGAGGAAGGCCCTGCTGCCGGCCAGCCCCAGGGCGCCACTGTGCCAGAGGAGCCCACGGGAGCTGTGGATGGTGCTGGCCGACAGCCCTCCGCTGGTCCCAGGCCGGAGGTGCTGGAGTCCCAGACAGGTGAGACCTTGCACACAGCGTGAAGCTTGGAGGGAAACTGAGATCAAGGGGCAGCAGTTCAGCCTAGTCTTCCTGGCAGGTTTTTCTGGAAGCTCAGCTCATTGCGGTTCACATTCTCCTTAGCAAGGGACCGGCCCTCCGCATTGGGCGAAAAGTGAGGCTCAGAGCGGTGATGTGACTTGCTTCCTTCCAGTCCTTCAGCTGGGAAGCAGGGAATTGGAATTTGAATACACGCACCCACACACGCATGCACGCATGCTAGTACTGGGCTTGAACTCACACCCTGATGCTCTCCCTCAGATTTTTTGCTCAAGACTAGCACTTGACTCGTAGCTTTACTTCTGGTTTCTGGTAGTTAATTGGAGATAGGAGTTTCACAGGCTTTACTGCCCAGGCTGGCTTTTTTTTTGGGGGGGGGCAGTTCTGGGGCTTGAACTCAGGGCCTGGGCACTATCTCTGAGCTGCTTTTGTTCAGGGCTGTGCTCTACCATTTGAACTACAGCACCATTACCAGCTTTTTCTGTGTATGTGGTACTGAGGAATTGAACCTGGGGCTTCAAGCATGCTAGGCAAGCACTCTACCACCGAGCCACCTTCCCAGGCTGGCTTTGAACTACAGTCCTCAGCTCTCAGACTCCTGAGTGTGAACTACTGGCACCTGGCTTGAGTACAGATCTTTATGACTGGAAAAACCCTGGCTTCTGCAGAGCTTTTCACAACCTGACTTCTAGCCAAAGAAGGGCCGGGCTGAGGTGCTGTCCTCCATGATCAGGGCCGGCCTGCAGGGTGCATGGGGCCGTCTCTGTCTGGAGGGAGGTGAGGCCGCTCAGGACAGACTGAAGTGGTACTTGAAGGGGGGCTGGCATGGATGGGGAGAGCCCCCCTGGGCTGGGGGCTGGCAGAACGTGCGGGAGAGCACCAAGGTTACCTCTGGATGCTGGGGCATCAGGGGCCACGCCCAGCCTGAGCTCTGACCCTGCTCGGCCTGCAATCAGGGCTGCTCGCGGGTCCACTGAGACAAGCTCGGCCAAGCCGGTGGTGGGTGGGAGCAAGGCAGAGGGCAGGGGTGGCTGGTGGGGCCAGCAGAGGCCGACCCCGACAGCGCCTTTCAGCCAGGGGCCCCAGCTCTGCCTCTTCACCTGTGATGGGGGGGAGGGCGGTGAGGGAGGAGGCAGCCATCACCATCTGTGCTCAGGGCATCTGAGTCCCTTCCTGGTGTGGCCTCTCCACCGCCTCTCTCCTCCCTGGTCCACGCAGAAGGCAAATCCGTGGCCGACCTCATCACAGAGCGGCAGCTGCTGGCAGCCTTCGAACAGCTGCAGCAGCTGGAGGCGCAGCTGGTGGCCGAGAAGGACTCGCACACCTATGAGCAGGACCCCACGGCCTTTGCGCGCCGCGCCATGGACGTGTGCCTGCACTACGACGCGCTGGCAGCCGAGATCCGCGCCATCGTGCGCGAGACGCTGGGCCCCGAGGGGGTGGACGCAGACGCTCTGGCCCAGGCGGCCAGGGTGGTGCAGGCCGAGGCCGAGGCCCACCCGGCACCCCCCG